TAATAATTTCAAAATAAAGCAGATTTTATCACCAAAGTAGTTGCAGTCAATATAGAGATGACTTACCCAGATTGATTGTTGTCAGGTTCCCTGCATTGACAAAGAAATGTGTTCTGAACAGATCACCAAACCCTCCTTTTGCTGGGTTAAATGGTAGGGGGCTATAAACATGTAAACCAGTTGCCCAGTAGGCTTCGCTACCAACTGCATCACCTAGAAAGGAAAATAAAATTGTGTTTAATTCTAAAAACATTTGACAATTCATTATAAATACATGTACATGGTATTTCATTTCTAATACAATGAATAATAATTGGATCCCCAGGTATGTTTTTTGCCAACTAAATAAACTGAACACCAGCTTACCTTTACATCTAAACAATGAAACAGCCTGTCATAGTTTTCCCATTTAATCAAAAGCGTTCTATCCAAAATTATTTTTACAAAATAAGAACAAATATATGAATATCATTGACGAGTGCAAACGTCAACTTCAAGTTTTGAAAAAAGGCAGAAATTCCAGTGAAAATCATGAAAACTTATTTTAAACAAGGCTGAAAATCAGTTGATTACGTTGTGTTACTCATGTAATTGATCTCTTGGTTTAGAGTATTGAGCAATTTCATTGTATAAATATTGTAACCGTCATTTGGCATAGTAATTTTATATTTTTAAACCATTCTTGGAAGTACATGACAACTGAGTAACCATCTTCCTATCATAATCCCAATTTTATGCACCGTCAACAATCACAATCTGGACACTTTAAAAATGTTCCTCAATAAATTTGCTCAGTTTGAGGCGCACTCACCCAATGTCTGGGCATCTTCCATTAAATGATTTTAGTTTTCAACTCTAAGATAATCTTTACTGAAGTGATCTATTATAAGTATGAAGCAACAACTACTTCACTGAAGATGGTCATAAACTTTGACCCAAATGTAATGCCAAAATGAAGAATGTTTGGTGGGAAAACAAGTGACATATTTCTTACCATCTTGATGAGGTCCGATGCCTCGGAGCATGAAACCACGAACAGAGTTGGGTCCTCCCAGAAAGAATCTGTCTAAAATATTTGACTTTGTCTTCTCCAGTGGCTTCAACATTCCACCAGATAAGGAACAGGATACCACCTATCGAGTGAGCAAGAAAAACAGAAAGTCCATAGCATCAAGGGCCAAATGATTTCCCAAACTTTCTTGCACTTCCCCCAAGACATTTTGACCCTTAATTCAGGCCAGCATCATCACCAAAGCTCAAATTAACACTATCATCTCAGCTTTAACTACATGTATTTGTTTTATCGCCGTTTCTTTTTGCAGGTAGCTTGTCACAAATTTATACCAATACAGGAAACATTACACACACACACACATTATCAACCGCAGTATACTTACGATATCCCAGAATAATTTCTGATTCAATTGTAATTCCATTTCTTCTTTGAAGAATTTGATATCGCCCCCTGTATAGCCTGCTAATTCTTGATTTAATTTGAGTAGATATCCACTGGATGGCAAGACGTTTTCATCCCGTGTATCACGTGTGTATGTATGCTACAATAAGACAAGTCAAAACATTCATTTTATCTTTGTCACAAACAAGCTAATTTCACCGCCAGCATTTTTTGAATTTAAATTCTTTATCTGATACATATGTATGTTTTGACATAAATAAGAAATTTATTTTTATGGTTGTGATTATCAATTTGGACAGACTAGATGATGCCATGCTGATGTGAATCTATTTCGGTCCATCAAATAGAAAAAGTGAAAAACATAAAAGAGATAAATTCAAGCACTGAAAAGGTTCAAAGCATGATGCATGATGGTGATATGATAAGATATGTGCAATAAAAGACAATTCCACCTTTCCCATTAAAAAAAAAAATTGCATAATTATTTGATATATATAAAATTGGCATTGATATATATATAAAAATATACTATAGATTGCAAGAAGACAATCTTACTTTAAGGCATGATTTCAGTGTATGACCAGCTTCCTCTCTGACTGCAAATGAAGAAGTTCTCAGGCAAGATAATTCTCTCCAAACACCTTCCCATCGTAGTGACTGACGACCAATGAAACTGGGGAACTATTGGAAGAATAAAACATAGTTAAACCAGTTTTATCTGGTATGGGGTATGAGATCATCTAACAAGTTCAAGATCTAAGAAGAAAGAAGATCTGATTTGATGTTTGCATACAACATTTTAAAATCAACTGAACATCTGAAAGTTCTCAACATTGAATGTCACTGTTGTCTCGCTTCATGTGCAAATTGCAAGTGACTGGATGGCTTGACTAACACATAGTGCACTTTTGTCACAGTCATTTTCATGTCTGTGGATGCAATGAATATTACCGGTACACTCATCCGCACTGGCTTACCGAAAGATCTAGTGATATTCCTTTGTCTGTCTGTTTATATCCACTAGGTAGGTAATCTGCCATCATCTTGAAACCACTTGCTGTAATACTGTAATGTAACATTGGATATTAAGTGAGAACTGAAGAAAGCTATTGCCACTAAGGCGGCCAGACGAGACAAGAAAATATTCTTTTCATGTCAGCAAGCCAGGTTATGCCAAGAATTGTACTACCGTTAACATTTTTTTATTTTGCATCTCTTGCATAAATGAGAGCATAAAATTGTATCATTCAGAATAGAGTTGATGTCTTGTCTTAGCTATCTTGTTGATACATCATTCGTCGGCAATAATGCCATGATTCATTTACATCTCTGCATTTTTAAATGCAGGTGTACAATAAATTATGGCACTAAAAGCACTGATATCAACTTACCATTTGTCAAGGTCTGCTTGGATTGGTTTGATGAATGAGGCTTGATAAGATGTTGACTTACGGCTTCCATACGAGTACTCAGAAACAAGTTTTTCAGCACGGCCAAACACGTTAGGCATTTTTACTCCCACGACCTATACAAAACAAGCATTGAATAAAAGTGTACTGGGGTACTGACATGATTCTAGGGCCTAATATGACGCAAACAGGCAACTGATTTTCACTGCAATATAACTATAAGTTGAAATTAAAGGGGAAGTCTTTCAATCCCCGGGATTGCATCATTGAAATATGAGGCATTTATACTATTCTTTCTCCTATTTGTATTAGCTGACCTCAACTGTTCTACATTCTACTAAAAAAATCCTTTCCATGATCAGATTCCAAATACAAAATCATATTTTTTTAAACAAAATAAATGATGATTTTTTAAAATATCAAGTACCGTATTACCCCGGGCACGCGCCCCTCTCTGGGCAAGCGCCCACCCCGTTTTCACAAAAGTTACATGTTGGGGACATCCTCGGTTAAACGCCCAGGGTGATTTTTAGCCAAGAACAGGGTCAACAATAAAGTTTTATTTATCAAAAACAAACGCGTTTGATTTATTTAAATAGTGTGTTTGTTACGGTAGTTCTCTTTTTGGAGTGTGTGGTGACCCTGAAAAGGGCCGTTTTGTTTTTGTTTTTACGTAAAAACTCATTGGAACTTAACAACGTAAGATGAATCACGCAGCATGTGGCGCACACGTTCTGCTTTCTCTTCATTCACGATGAATCCAATATTGCAATAATCCATACCTTGGTTAGGAATGGTTTGAAGCACTTAGCTTTGGTTTCAAAACGTAGCATTTCGCTGACTGTGAATCCATAACAGGAGCTAACACTTTTGAGACATCACGTCGTAAACTTGCTACTTTCTTTCCATCCTTCATCACAGCTATGTCATTACGGTCATGTGTATTATTTTTCTGTCGTTGAAAAAAAAACATTTTGCCGACCTCGAGTCCATTACGATGCTGGGAACTTGTTGCATCATCGTTATTTTTGTAATTTTGTCATGTGCGTGAATAAATCATGTTAATGAGGTCGACCAGAGTTTATTTTCAGTCTGTTTTTTATGTATCGCCATTTGGATATGTTTATGTATTCACAATAGTTTGTAAACATTTCACATCAGTAATAAAAGGTTTATTTGTTTCATAACCCTGTCTGCTATTCTTCAGTAATTACGATGCGATGCATCAAATTATGCTAATGAGGTCATCGTCATCTTGGATTACAAGCGGTAGTTTTTCCCAGCCGTTTCGACTTGCACTGATCACGGTTACTAAAAAAGTAACCGTGCATTGATTACAATACTTATCATACTTTGTAGCCAATTTCAGTGAGTAATACAACTTCATTCGCTGACTTAAAACAAGTTTTATTTTTGAAATTCGACCCTGTGTCTCAGTGTTCCCACAGTTTTTGACCGAGTGCTCACGTTTATTGAAACCTTGCATAAATCAAGAAATAAGTATGTGTACAAAGTGTACGAAAGCATTCCTTTATTTGACCTTATCATACGATCACAAAAACAACTTTTTTAAATCTTTTTTGGGGTGGTCCTCAGGTAAGCGCCCACCCCCAATTTTTCCCGATTTTGTATGTTCAGGTCCCTGGGCGCGTGCCCGGGGTAATACGGTAACAAGACTTTTTTTTTCATTTTACGTCATCAACTATTAGTCCCTTTTATGGTTTTTCTGTGACGATCACATATAACAACTATAATGTTAGCTTACCAAACTTCCTTCATTGTTGCCAACTAGAGTATGTATTCCTCCGGTTACTGATCTCATTTCTTTAACTTCAAATGTTACATTCAGTCCATCTGGATGTGCTTTGGGACCTGTAGAAATCATGTTAGAAGCTTACTGTAATTCGAGAATAGTATGTGTATGCAAGAATATAAAGTACAGTTGTCATAACAACAGATGCATAGTGAGGTGGTCAACATGATCACAATAATGCCTGAATACATTTAGCCACATTATTTTAACAACTGCATTAGTATACATTTTTAACCTTCTCATATGCAAATTAACCATTTTATTCTCATGAATACACAAATAGAGAGACAGTCATTTATCATAGGATTCTCATTGGCACACATCTAGTACATACCCGGTACATCTTGCCAGTACCGATAATTTAATCCACCAAAATTGGGAAAATGATGAATGATTTTTTACAATTTGTATCTAGACATTAATGTTTATAGTGGAATACACAGTACCGGTACATACAACAATGAAATATACAGACAATTTATGAATCTGGAATAATATATGTTTCATAATCTAATCTATTTTTGAGCAGTTTTAGTGTTAAATTGTAATCACTACAATGATAAAATACAATAGGTTTTGGTTTGAGAAATGAACACCATTTATTAGCTGATCTACCTCATGTAAAATTCAAAATGTTACTCTCTGGAAAGAAAAAATTTAGTAATTCAGAGTTTTTTTGGATGGTTATTAAAAACAAGTCAGTCACTGACACAAAATATTTTAACATATTCACTATTATTTCATTGTCGTTCATTTATTAATCCTACTATCTGTTCACAACTTATTTTTGTACGGTTTCTGTATACACATTAATTTGTACTTGCGAAAACAATGATGTTTTATAGAGTGAAAATAAATTCTGATGCTATACTTGTTATTATTATACATCTATCTTTCACCGTAACGCCATAAGTTACAGCGTGCCGTAATTTAGCAGTATTTTACAGGGTATTTTTATCCTACCATATTAGGAAATGCGAATTCCAAATATGGAATGATTACGCACATAAGCATCCTCTGATAGAAAACTTTGCAATACTTAGTATATCAAATCATATTCTAGGTGTGAATAAACATTCTTCATTCCTTACCGGTAGTAGACGAAGCAGACAAAAACAGGTTTTTTAACTCATGGAACACCTTTGCAATCAATAGAAAACTGGAGACCTAAGGGTCATGAGGGTGTGAGCACGCCCTCTAGAGGTGGGGTCCCATGTCTCACTATGAACATTGGCCATATTATATCGATATATATCTTAATTTAGGTTTAAATATTCTAAATAACTGAGCTTTTGGGATCTTGTTTTCAAACGCATACATTTGTCACACTTCACTAAGATGTTAAATGCACACCATACCTTTATTTGTATCTATAAGGATTCCAACATTTTTAAAAATTCCTAGTTTTTCCATTTTAGCTCTGGCCTCAGTGGATTTTCTAATGACATCTTGTATACTTTCAGCTTGGAGAACATCTTTAGCAATGTTAGTCACTACATCAGACTTAGTCTTTGAGAGACCCTCGATATAAATATGTTCAACTTTAGCCTATGGGTAAAACACACACACAGACTGTTGAATCTTTGAATGTAAGTATCAACAGATTTTATGGTGACATTTTAATAATCTCAAAACATATGTATTTTAATAAACTAGGGGATCGTGTAAAGTTTAAATGACTTCAACCCAATATATTGATTCTCTTATATAAGAGCTCTCTTACTAAATTACAATAGGAACTCAAAAAAAAAAACTGGCATCACCAAACCAGAGAGTAAATAATTTGGTGACAGTCGTGTACAGATACAGATCATTTGTGATTGAATGATAATAATGTAATTACGTAAAATAAAACATGTAAAATAACCATATAACTCATTGTTTCCATGACAAATTCATCAACTTAAAACTTAAATATTTTTGTTTTGATTTTTTCAAGTTCTGATCTTTTTATTTGTAGTAGTCTAGCAAAATTTATTTTTCATGTTTTAGAATTTTGTTTGTGTTATTTTGGACTTTACACAGACTCTGTATTGTGTATGTGCCAAATAAAATATCCTATCCTAAAACCCAGTAAATATGGTCAAAACATCAAAATAATGAAATGAAATGCCAGTGTGAAAAAAAAAAAAAAAAAAAAAAAAACGGTTTTACAGTACATTGACGTCCTACCTTTTGGTTGTCTAATACCAATACATGTCCACGTTTACCATCAGGAGGTGGTGGTGGTATTCCTTGATGTGCAACCATTGCTGGGAAGGTTTCTGAGTCCAAAGTCTATAATAAAAAACTTTCAATATATAATGTCTAGTTGTACACAATTTTACTGACAAAGAAGCAAATTATATTTTCTGTAAGCAGGGCCAATACGCCTTGAACGATTAAAATTACAAAAATTACGATTTCTGTAATTTGCAGTTACTCAAACATCTTATTTTCCCTGTCATGTGTAAACTTTGATTTCATCAAATTTCAAATAAAACCCGTCTAGTTTTTTGATAAACAAGGTAATAATTGATTATAATAATACTGTAATTGCACATCCATGATGATACAATCATGTTTCATCCACCATCTGACACCCCTAACATCAACGCATGGCATAACAGAGTCAACCAGACTGTTTAATGTCCCAGTGGTTAAATTCTCTGTTCAGAATTTGTTTATAGTAAACTTTAAGTGTTGATTTATTTTAAGTACGCTAAATGAGCAAGTTTGATATTGCCTGATAAATATGAGCTCAAAATAACCTACTATGAATTTCATACAATGGTCACGTTTACGCAAAACCATGCGTATTTTACGCATCAATGTCACATTGTATGCAAAAAAATAAACACAGTGCGTACTATATACGCAAAAAATACGACAATTTAATTTACTCTCACTAACCTCCTGATAGTGATCATTCGCTGACGCCAAACTAAACGGTCCATTCCAACACCGATTAACAAACATGCCGAATGTACAAATTCAGTAACACGTGTACCTGACTAACACGTATTCCACTCTCACAAGGCCACTGAGAAATTGACAACTTTTTTTTTTCTCTGCGTCTCTGAACAATAAATTTAAGCCAATTGGAAACACCAACAATTTTGACGCGATGGCTGATAACCACGTGCGAATAGAGCACATGGTAGTGATAACATGGAGAAGCCTATTTTTTCATATTTTTCAAGTTCTGTCACCACGAAAAGAGCAAGATCAACATTCTCAGCAGATGATCACAAAACACAAACATAGTTGAACTCTGGTGACCTTGCCCTTTGTTATATAATATAATTCCCTTTATCATAGTTTGTTTCAATATAAATATGCATTGTCATAATTAATTTTGAATACAAACAAGTTTTGGGGTTGAACCAACAGTGGGGAATCAGTCTACCGAATGTCCTTAAAAGATGTAAATATCTTACAAAAACATTGGTGCCTTATTTGTTTAATTACTTTCTTCAAAGTAATTCAAATATTTTAGTATAAAAACAAATGTCTCATTGAAAAAAAAAAAAGTGCTGCATTTAGATGTGAATAGATTCATAAAACATGCAAGATAACAGAAAATTTTAGCTGGCTTTAGTCCAAGTATTTTGTACAGGTGTCTGTCAAAAATTAATGATTCACTGAGACAAATATGAACTGCCTCATTGTGTGACTACTGTATTATATGAAAAGTAAAAAAAACATCTTTATGAATAGCTATCATGTTGCAAGCTCTGCTTTGTATGCAAATCAACTTAAATAGTTAGTTGGTGTCCAGTGGAGGGAGAAGTCAACAGTACTGTTCTCCTGAGAATCTACATCTTCAAACACTGCAATCTTTGAAGTGCGTTTTTAAACTAGTATTATAAAAACTCTATCATTCTGTTCTAATAGCTGAAACATATTCCTGTGAGTTTTCATTTGTCGAATGAACTGTTTGTCAAATACAGAATACATATATTTTAGAATAATTTTCTTTTTAAAATGTGGATGAAATGTTTTGCTTTTAATGTATTTTTTATGTATTGTTTTTGATTTGATAACTTTGAACTAAACAGGTTTTCTATTAGCTTCAGATCTTGATCAAAGTTAGGCACCCAGTTCATAGGAGTGCTTATATTGATTTTCTGACATCTTGTTTTCTGTAAAGATTTTATTGGTAGGTTTGCAAATGTGTATCAGACTGTGCAATCTCTCCATGAGTTGGTTTTGAAACCCAGTATGGGATTCTGAGATACATTACCAAGGATATTATTACAAGATAAATGATTTGCTTCATTGAACACATACAACAATGCATATTTCCACTGAGATCAGTGACCTTTGATGTGTATCACCAGTGATCAGTCAAGTAGAAACAGTCAAAATATTTTATCAGATTTTCTCAATTTTTGCATGATATTTTCATACAGGACATTTGTTGTTCAAGACTTTATACTGATGAATAAGGTGACCAAGTTTGATAAAGTTTGGAATAGAATTAGTAAAGTTATTATGCACACAATAACAATTATTAACAACAACGACGACGACGACGACAACGCCGGACAAAATTTTTCCCTTAATATACCTTTCCCTTCCATCTTTGATGGTACGGGCAAGGTAAAAATGACTCCGATGTTGCTGAATTACCGCCAATGCCCGAGCCTTCGACAGACTCTCGACAAACGCACCCCGATGTCACGAATATTACAGAAAACGGTGTTCATTGCAGCAAGAAAGCCTAGTTTGTTCGTCAGAAAACGTATCAGTTAGCCTGGGAAGTAGAGTATAAATGGCTATGTCCGGAAAAACGGGAATGCGAAGATAAAACTGTCATGTTCTGCCGACTGTGCGAGAAACGAGGAGAAAATAATGCCTTCTCAAAAGGATGCGAGGATTTGCAGAAATCGGCATTGAAATGACACATGGACAGTCCCGGACACAGGAGAGCTGTAATGAATGACAAGAGTAGTCGAATGCTTGGTGCTCCAGTTGAAGATAATAAAATCCAGTCCGACACAACATGGAAAGCTGTTTTCCGCACAGTGTATTTTTTATCCAAACAAGATACCGAATGATGTTTATGGAGGGCTTACCGACTTACAGCGCGTGAACAGCTGCCAGGCTTTTAATTCTAAAGATACTGCAATCCCAACACACCATTTGAATGTGACAGAAATGCAGGAAACTATTGTCGAGACAATAAGAGAGGATGTTAAAAGAAATATTGCGGAAAGTCCCTTTATTGGAATACTTGTGGACGAAACTGTTAATGTGACAATTTATAAGAAATTAATTGTATTTTTCTGAGTGTTGAATGAGGACGGGAGAGCTGAAACTATTTTTGGTGGTAACTATACTGATCAAAGTGGTGATGCTGAAACAATTTTTTAATAAAATGCATGAAGTAATAGACGAAAAGGGAGACAACCTGTTCAGCAAATTGGTCGGACTTGGGTCTGACCGCGCAGTGTCATGATGGGAAGACACAGCGGTGTTGGAGTACATTTAAAAGGGACCTCTCCATTCTGCATTCACGTACATAGTGTTGTGCACCGTATAGCCCTGGCATCGTCAACTGCGGCAAACAAAACCGCCAAAGTCAAAGAATTTAGAGACACCGCCAATCGTATATTACATTTTTTTCAACATTCTGCTGCCCGGTATGGCAGACTACGTGAACTTACTGCCACCATGTCCAATGAAGACTTTTCAAGTCTCAAGGAGCCCTGCAGTGTATGATGGCTTTCATTGTCACAATGAAAATGCTAGTGACATACTTCCAATTTTTCACCGGGACAATGTTAACTTGGGAACTATTCGTCCGATGGTTGAATCCACAGTTCGGGAACTTGAAAGACTCTGTGACACCGAATTTTGTGGTGATAGTGAAAATGAATTCATAACAAATTTTAATCGGGAAACATCGGAGTACAAGGGTAACCGTCTCGTCTACAGTGCTGATGTAAATATCAACGCACATAATGTTATGCATGCACAATTCATTCAGCATTTATTAGACAATTTACACAGTCGATTTCCTGAGGAAGACCTGTCCCTGTTAGCTAGTCTGGACACAGTGCTCAATACAAGCAAGTATCCAAGAGATGACAGAGTTATTGGTGAACATGGAAATGAAGCGTTAAATGTGCTTGCTGATTTTTTTGCCGGCGATATAGAGGATGGTTTGATCGACGAGGCTACACTTCCCCGTGACTTCCGCCAAATGAAATTGACATTACGAGGACATGGTCACCCAAACGTTGATGAGTCTTGCAGGTTATTAATTAAAGACTACAGTGAAATATACCCAGCATTTGCTTCATTAGCAGCAATTTCACTTGTAATTCCAGTAACAAGCGTACCATGTGAGTGTGATTTTTCCACGCAAAGTCGAATAAAATGTGCTAGACGATCTCGTCTAAAGGAAGTGAATGTTGACAATCTCATGCTGATTTCGATGCATGGACCACCAACAGATTGTTTTGATTTTGATCGTGCACTTGAACTTTATCATCAGAAAAAAGATCGTCACAAATTGTGAAGGTACGCACTTTAATACTAACTGTGGCTTGAAATACTTAGTTTGCAACATTGTATAAAAAACGTGCTGTTAATAAAAACTACTGAAACTAAACATGTGTCGTGTGTATACGCGTTGATGATCCGTAGAAACGCATTTGTTTGTGATTGATGCATTCGATATACGCAACTTGTAGAAACCTAGCGCGATCACTGTTCATATTTATGAACTACATACGTGTACAAACCCACAACTCGGTTCTTTCAACACATTGCCTGATGAAATCCTCCATGGACATATCAAAATCAGAAGGGTAGAACTCTGTGCGAATCCCCCTTGATTCTGGCTGCTGGCCATTTTCGTTCATGAAATCATCGAATATCATCAGAAAACGCGGGATTTGTGCAGTTTTGAATAAAACTAAGTTAGCGATTATGAACAATGGTTATTAATGTAACACCCGATCCCCTCTGAACTTTTTGTTTCGTGTTTTAAGGTAAGAAATCAACATTTGAAACAGACATGGTGTCGATTTTGCTAGGTACCATGTTTCATAACTTGTTCATTTATATGCATATAGCGGATGACTTTTTAATAAAAAAGTATTTATTGATTTTCAGCCCCCAAGTGACTATGCATAATACTGAGGTATGTATAGGGGTCTAAAAACTAACTCTGCGACGCGATTGTGCGACTCGCCGAATGTCGATTATTGCACTCTGCGACAGGATCACAGTGTCACTCTGCGAAGAGCATGATTTCCATAGGTTGGTTGGTCGAAAAGCATGAATCTCAATGGTCGATCGATGTAAGGGTACACAGCATGCCTTATAGAAATGTTCAGTTTTAAATGGTTATTTCGCCGACTGCTCGCTAACTACGGTAAAGAAGTATTTACCGACGACATGCCGCACGGTTCGGTAATCAGCAAGTATTTAACATTGATTTATTAACATGTATAACATCCCCCGGAGGGAATGAGAGGGGTTACAAAACACATGCACATTGGTGTTGGGTGCCTTATTACGGTGTAACATCAGGGAGCTGGCAACATTAACGCCATCTTGATGTTGTAAGGCTTCGTTCGCAACTATGCTGATTAGCATAGGCGGCAGCTTCAAAGCGAGTAGAGCGCGAAGTACGTTTCACACGATCCGGGGCACACGATGTTACTTTCTTTTTTTTTGTCATTATAATTATAATTTGTTATGACTATATTCATCACTTTGAATTTCCAAATAAAGCGTGTAGCGGGTCAAACTGTTCCTAGGCAATCAATATCATTTTATTAAGAATATTAAGAGAGAAAAAACGTAAAGCTGTGTGAATGGATTGAAACTACTGCTGAAGATGGAAAACTACTACTAAAACGGCAGTGTCAACGGAAAATTAGATGAGTGCACGCTCTCTGCATAAACGGAAACGATGGCTTTGTTTATTTGGCCGATGTCGACGAGCAACAGATTTCCTGTACTCACTTCCTCGTCTGATCACCGGCCCTCGACGGTCTCACATATCGGTGTCGTCATCGGTTAAGTAGTTGAAACTCACGTTGATGCGAATATTTCAGCCTAATCGTCCCTTTCGAACCACTCCCGAGGTTGGTCATTATGACCTAGACGTGCTTGCTATGTGTTGCGATTCCGATGAAAAATTCTTAAAAAATAAATATAAATTGCATAAACGAAGGGTGAACGCGAAAGTCCTGTAATTTTGTGTGAGAGTGCTGTTTACCCTTCTTGAGTGTGTGAGGGCGCTGTTCATCCTTGAGTGTTATTTATATTTTCTTTAAATATTCATATTTCTACCTTTGAGATGTATTGTAAATTCTTTATTTTTATTATTAATTTCTGTAGAGGATATGTAATGTATT